TTTTTTTTTTTTTTTTTTGTAACGCAATTAAATTTTCTTGATTTTAATATAAAATCGCCCATAATAAGATTTGTGTATGGTTTCATCTAGAAACTGTATGAAATCTTTAATTAAAGGACTATTGCAGCAGTGAATTTATCTTTAGAGTAATATTTATTTAATTCGATCGATAATTTTTACAAAGATCTATACTTATTCGTACAATTAATTAAAGTACTGTTCATTTGTGCAAATTTTTATTGCGCCAATAGTCCGCTTCTAAAATAATTATAAGTTGTAGAAAAGCATTGTTATTGTTCTAGAATTATTTTATCCGCGGAATTAACAACAGAATTATACAATAGAATAAGGTTTGATTACAAAACGCGAAAAATCATAAGACCTATTTAAGAGCAATTAAAAATATTTTATTTTACTGCGCAATACACTCTATAGTCTTGAACATTTCGCAAATTAACAGACAGGTACGTTAATTTCTTAATAATAACAATTATAATAATTTGTACATGTAGTTTTTCGATATTTCTTCGATGAATTTTAGTACTTTCTGTTAATTTAATTGTACACGAACGATCTTATATTATCGATACATAATTTTACTCTGCGTTATATTTTAAAAATAAATCACAGCGTTGAATTTATTGTTTAACACTTGTTTTCTGTTAATTGTTATTGCGTTAGTCGCTTTTAAATGCATAATTTACACTTTATATGTAAAGTGTATTTTATAATCAACCTGGACGAATTTGTAATATAAAAAGCATCGTTATTTCTTATTACATAAATAAAAAAGAAAGAAAAAATAAAAAGAGCATCTATTCGATGCGACTTGTAAATACGTTGAATAATATTAAAATGTATTATTAGTCAGCGTTTTATCTATTTGGGTTGATATTATAAGCGACGATTATTATTTAAAGAAAGCAGATGCAATAACTTGTCCACTAGACTTGTCCACTAGTAAATCGATAAGATTGTTCTTTACAGAATAAATTATTGTTCTAAATCAGCAGCTCTAATTGTTACTCCCTTTGCCCCACATTTAGTAATTTGTCTACATTAATGATTAAAAATACTGTTCTGTAAATTTAACTGCTATTTTGTAAAATATTTCAAGTGATATTTGGTAACTTTATTTTAAGACTAAAAAGAAATAAAATACTATTTTATTTCTTTCCCTTTCTTGATGTAACTAGCTTTTAATTTGTTGAAAATTAATTCATTTATATTTTTCATTCAAAATAACATGTCAATAAATCGTCTTTGACATAAAGAAAATGGGAAACCCTAAGTTTTCGAACAATGCAAGTTTCTCTAAAGAGGCACGATTTTTATGGAGAAAATAATTTTTGGCAAACAATACCAAACTAAGAGCTACGCATAATACATATGTCTTATTTCTTGTAGATTTTCAATGTTCTCTTTGAACTTTGAGAACAAGGAGTGAGCAATATCTACTCCAGTGATATGCAAATTAAGACGAATTAAGGTAAATAAAGTAAGTAAGGTAAGTAAGGTAAGTAAAATAATTGGAAACTCCTACAAATGAGTAGACTATGTATACCATGTATAGCAAAGTATTCAAGCAACGGCTGATAAATTTCTTCAGCTAGAATTCTTGGAAAATGACGTCACTTCCTGGAATTCTGCCGGCGAGCAACCTTCTTTCATGTTACGTTATTCAGATACAAAATGCCGAAGTTCGCTAAAAATTTTTCGCCGAGATCGTAAAAGTATTGTCCACAGAAATTCTTAGAAATGACGTCATTTCTTGGAATCATCCGGCGAGCGACCTCCTTTCATGTCATATTATCCTAATATAAAATTGCAAAATTGGTCGAAAATTTTACATCTTGCGATCAGCGCCATCTATGATTTTGGACGCAAACTTCAATAAAGTAACAGGAATACAGAATACACAAGGAGGTATCCAACAACCTTCTTGGGCTTCCAACTGAAACTCATAGATGGCGCTGATCGCAATTCTTTTTCATTGGATATCTTAGCACCAATCAACACGTTGGTTTGCACTGCCGGTAGAAAAGGACAGAGAATAAAGATTCACCAATACGATTGATTTGAAAGGAAAATCATCAAATTATTCAATTTCTGTGAACAATTTATGAACTTTTATAATTTTATTATAAAGAAACATCCTTGAAAAACTTTTTAATATTATTTTAGATATAAATTTCTCGTTAATTAATTAATTATTAATAATTTTTCCACGGAGTGTTTGAAATGTTACCGAAGATGCCAATAATTTTTCATTAATTACTACTTCTATGCAATTAATTTGTGACTATTCATGCACTCATTGTAGAAACAATATCCTTAGCAATATTTCCATATAATTTTTATTCATATTTTACGTCCAGTTTTGTTCGTAATTAAATATTTTGTCGGCCAATCATGCCGATCATTTTTATCGAATCGCGATCTCCTTCGAATAGTTATTTATAACAAACTAATTGGGATGAAATTATGTACGAAAATTGCATAAGAATATTGCCCAAAGATCCAACTTTACAACGCAGCTATAAAAGTTCATAAATTAATCGCAGAAATGGCGTAATTTGTTAATTTTTCCCTACCGAAGTGTCTATAACGTCACGCCATATTGAACGATCTCCTTGCATATTCTGTAATCCTATTAACTTTCTTAAGCTTTCAGTTCAAAATCATATGTAGCGCTTGAACTTTTACCCTCCTTTATCTTATAGAAGGAATTAGTACTGTATCAATAGATTGCATTAGGGATATATTGTCTTTATTTATTAAGAGAATTCGTACTACATTTCACATTTTCGACAACATTTTATTTTTTCTAAATTACTAAAAAAATTAAGTAATTAACCAATAAAAACTGAAGAATCTTTATTCAAAAAAAAAGCAGAATTCTAAAATCATAAATATAAAATATAATAATAGATGCAATTATAAGTGTAAAATATCATTAAAAAAATATATAATAAGAATTAAACTAGTATTTTCAAAACCATTAAGAACTTTCCTTAAAAAGCATTAATCCTAGAATATCCAATCCGATACATTTTATGGAAGGAGTATTGTGGATGAAAGTCCCAAAGTGAGAAACTTGTAGAATAACTCATAAGTCTAGGTAAACAACACTTTGTTCTCAGCAATTGTAGAAGTTCTTAGAAGTGATACCAAATTCTTGGAAATTTTAGAACTAATGTCCAATCCCTGGAAATTTTACAGTTCAAAGAAATTCCTTAATTCTTAAAAATAAAATTAAATTCAGTTATCATTATTTATACAATTATTGTTCATACAAATGTTTAGTAGATGTAAAAAAATTACTCCTGTTAGTGATAAATTCAGATAGAAACGTATATAACCTCTGTCTTTGTTTATTGATATTTCCTAACTGCTACATTATCATTCTGTTTATGTATACAACATAATAATAATAATAATATATAAATAAACAACAATAATAATGTATGTTATGTTAAATAATGTCATGAAGATAATATAAACAACATAATAATATATATTATGTATTCTTTTTATTTTGCAATATTTATTGCTCGCAAATCTCAAACCACGTTTAAATCTCGTTTATTTATAAACACAGACTGATATTCTTGATCATTTTATTCATTGACCAAAGAATGATAATTTCAAACTTATAATCTTGTTTATTTCTTTAATAAACATGGAATTCTTTTCCTTTATAGTATTATTACAATATTTCCTTTTGCAATAGAGGTTGGTGGTTCCTTGGATTAAATTTTCATTTGCAATTATCATCTTTTACTTGCAATAGAAAATTAACATATTTATATTCTTATATGACAATTTTATCCAATTGTGATTTATAAAAGTTATGCAAACTGCCAGGCAATCGTTTAAATTTTCTGCTCTCTAAATCTATTGCATACAATAACATTTGTCGAGATGTGACAGAAATATTCTCTTTGATTAAAATTTGTCTTGCAGTAATCATTAACTCATTTACTTTTTCTGGAAATATAAATTGTAACTGCTTCCCATGTTCAATGAACTGAAAATATAATATTGAAAACCATCAAAATAAAGTATTGAAATAAATGTAAAATTAAAGTTTGAACCATTAATATATACTTGTTCCATAAAAAGTTCAATGTCCTCTGAAGAATATGTTTCTAATAACATTTCCATATAATCTAACAATGCAAATTGGAGTTTGCTGTACTTATGTCCTGACATATACTTAGAAAATAAATAAATAGCATTATGAAAGTGGACTATGTTTTCTTCCCTCAATTCTTTTCTTCCTATATTTTAAATACAATTAAATGAGAAAAATAAGTATATCAATTTCATTTTTCATAAACTTCTAACTTAAAGCACATATAATATAACTTACTTTCATAATCCATTTGACATTGATTTATTAAGTACTTATACAAAAATTGATTGTTAGAATCATATATATTTTTAACTGCACGATAATTATATATCATTGCTAATTTATTCCCAAAATCTCTATGATTTAAAGCATGTTTGTGAAGTTTATCAATTATATCTCTGCAATTAATTAAAATTAGTTATTTAAAATGCTCTAGAAATAATTATTATAGAATATTATAGAAAATAAATACAGTATTTTACAATATTACTTTAAGTTTTCCTCATTCGTTTTCTCATCGATAAATTTTGCTATCTCTTCAATTAATTGTTCTATATTTTTATTATGAACGAAGTTGATTAAATTAAAAAAATCAATATAATTAACATCATCAGTACACAATAATCTTCTTGGCTGAGGTAATGAGTTTTTATCATTTTGAGCCCATCCACGACCACGACCAATTGATACCATTTTCACTGACCAGTTTAACCTATGAAATGGGAAACAAGTACTAATCATTTGCAGGTAATATGTACGTACATTATTATAAAAGTTAAGAAAATGTTTGAGCAAATATTATCTTCTCTTTAAATTTATGTGCAAAACAATACTTTTTAGTGTTTATTTTTGGATATATATATATATATATATATACATATGTATATAATTACCCAATAAATAACAATAATTATAATAAAAAAATGTTATGTGTATATTAAGAAATATTCTTAATATATGCTTTCCGCAACACAGTCTAATTAGCATGTAAAATATACGATTTTTAAAAACAAGGTAAACAATTAGTATGTTGCAACTTGTACACCTTTCCTTTTTGATGACCGAAAGCAATTGCTGACAAGTTGCAAAAAGGAAGGGGTTAAACTTTAGTCGACGATCATTTAACGCGCATGCGCCATCGTGCATGTATGATCACCGGACGATCGCCAGTCATTAATCGGTAATCTGTCATTATATTGTTATAATTCATTTTTAAGTGTTTCTCATTTAAATCATTCCTGTTTTACATTTGCTCAGTCAAAAATATATTATTTGAATCTTTCAAAGGTGGTCAATACTAACAAGGGATTACATTATAGCAACCTGAGTGTGAATAGCTACCTATCTGTTCAAAGACCTACGGATTTTGCCATGACGACAGAAGAGCAGTTTCAGGCGGCTATTAATGTAATTAGGAATCTACCAAAAAATGGTAATTTTTTCAAATAATTAATCGAATTAATTTGGATTGCAATTTTTTATTATGGATGTTCTTCAAACAATACAACCATAACATTGTTATGTATATTATTATGTACAGTATGAAATTTTTTATGAAATTGACACGACGTGTTACGTTACATTTTATTATTTCTTTTCCACTTAACTTTTTTTTATTTGTCTGAGACATCCCAGACTGGTTTCTTTTTATTAACAGTGTATTGGTAATAAATATTCATAGCATTTATACACAATACATTCATGGAATAATCGTACAAAGTTCATGTTCATACCGTATTTGATAGAATATCTACTTCTTTCGTTACAACAAAAAGCAAAAGATTTATTTAAATTATACGCAGATAATATTTATGTCTTAAATTTTAGATATATTTTAAATTAATATCATATATTATGGTAATTGGTAAAGAATAATTTGTAAAAAAAGTGCAAAGAAAAAAATAAAAAATAAGGTTGTTCTTGTATTTTGTATTTTATATTTGTCTACAAAAATTAAATTTACTTACTAGGCTCTCAAATATATTAAATTCCTTATATAAATTTGTTTTAATTGTTATAAGAATAGATTTTTACTTCCTTTTTAAATATAATTTGTAAATGTAACTTTTGCAAAAAAAACCCTTTTGCATTGTGTAAATAAAGAATTAAATTCTGATACTGTATTGAACATAATAAATTTTAGTATTATTAAATTCATAAATATGTATATATACTTTCTATTTATTATAAGTGAATGTGTAAGTGTTCTCATTTCACTTTCTAATAGAGTAAGAATGGGTGAATTGCAGTTTGTGTATAAAACTAGAACGTTCTTCATGAATGATCACAAATATACCTATGATTTTTCAAAATTTCATCAGTTTTGCTTATGTATTAATACAAAACTTTTATTTGTGCCTTATATAATAATAAATCTATAAATGTCATGATGTATAATATTTATTATCTTTGTATTTCTTTTATAACTAATAATAACTAATCGTTATAATCTTTCATTTGATACATTATTAAAGCAGAAGATATTAATGTAATTGTCTTGCGTTATTTTTTGGTTCTTTGATCAAATTTATACAATAAAAATTTTATCAAAATATTAATCTTTCAACTAATTTAAACAATAATTAAGGAACAAAGATATATATAATTAATTGTAAAAATAAATATTGCAATTTTATATGAAACTCAAAATTTTATATCACTAATGTGGTAATAATAAATATTTCTTTGGTAACAATTTATATTTCAGGAGCATATCAACCTAGCAATGAAATCATGCTACGTTTTTATGCATATTATAAGCAAGCAACAGAAGGACCATGTCAACAATCAAAGCCAGCTTTCTGGGAAATAGTTAAAAAAACAAAGTGGGATGCTTGGACACGTTTAGGCAATATGAGTAGAACAGAAGCTATGAATAATTATGTGGAAGAATTAAAAAAGGTTGATTTTAAAAATTATTATAACTCTGTTTAATATTACAGTTTTTACATGTTATTTTATGTTTATAATTTAATAGATTGTAGAAACAATGTCTTATACAGACAACGTGGCTAATTTTCTAGACAGTTTAGATTCATTTCGTGAAAGTGTTCCATCAAAAGATTTGGAATTACTTCTCGGTCCTGTACTGGAACGTATGCGTTCACAACCTGGAATACCATTAACTATTTCTCCATTAGGTTTGTATCTATAACTAACAATTACATATTTCACTTTATACTTGTTTATTTAACTATTTATTAACAATGAATATGTTCAATATCTGTGAATGAGAAAAAATTTGAAACAATTTAATTTTTCCACTCATTTTTCTCTAAATAGTATCAAGAGAAACATCACCACATAGAGTCTGTAATATGACACGACATATTGCAAGTAGTTTAGAAACTAGTCCAGCTACTAGCCATAGTGCAAGTCCACCAGATACTGATGGTGAAGAAGAATTTATAGATACCGTCGAAGTAAGCTACTGGTATTATAAACAATGCACAGTATTTAACACATTTTATTTTTACTTATATAACTGAAATTAATTTTTTTTATTCATAGTCTGCTCCAGAACGAATACAAAAGGATACAACAAAAATCTCTAATATTACTCACAAAATGACCTATGGCTTAAATTTTTCCACTGATAAAATTAATGAACTAGTTACTCCAAAAGAAAATTCTTCTGAGTTAACTAATGGATATACCAGTACAAATGGATATACTGAACCAATAATAGAAAATAAACAAGAAAAAAGTAAACAGCGAAATAAAAAGGATGAAAAATCTAATGCTGAATTCCTCAATCAAATAGCTACAACTATGCAAAACTTACAAAGAGATTTAGATAGAATAACAGCCAGAGTGCGTTGCTTAGAAGGTCAAACATTGCAAGCTTTGGCGCCATCAATAGTATGTGTAAATGAAATAAAATGACAGTTTTATCTTATTCTTTGTTATGTTATGGTATGATAGTCATTTACTTAATGGTATATAATTTTTGTAGAAACAGCCTACAACAACTTCATACCCAAAATGGTGGCCTTTAACAGACTGTTCACCGCGATTATTCACTATTTTAATCGCATGGCCGTTTATAGCACAATTTTTGATTTCTTTAACACAACGTTATCGTCAGCGAAGGCTGTGATTTAAATATTATCGTTATTTCATTCAAAATATATTACACTATTTACTATTAGATATTGAATTCAAATAATATAAGTATTTTTTAAGAGTTAAAATCCAAGTAAATTTTTACAATTTAAACATATATAAAAGAATAATCAATTATGTAAAAGTTTAAAAATTTGTTTACATATGAATGTATGTACAGAAATGTTTATTTAGTTTAAACATGAGAGAATTGGGGAGGGTTTGATTGCTCTCTGTATGTTTATATGTTAAAATTCAATACCTAAGGTAACTTATATGTATTATAAATAATGATGTGTATTCATATATTGTAATATAGAAACAAAGATTATATACACATTTTATATTGTACATTCAAATTAAAGGCCAAAAAAACAAAGAGAGAAAAAAGAAAAAAAAAAGGAAAAAAATAGAATTTATGAAAATGTGCAACAATTTTAAGAGAAATCATAATATACTTACGATGATATTATCATTCGTAATTCATAATATTATAAAATCCTTTTTCCTCTTTCTTTAATTAATTTTAAATTGAAAGTAGATATATCACAAAATTATGTACAAATGTTGTATAAAAATGTACAATTTTTAATTATATTTGTAATTATTTTTTTATAAATATTTTATCAACTAGTGCTTAATAATAATTATCTTTTCTTAAACTAATACTTTTATTTTATACAATTCCAATAAAATATTTCAAAATATAATAACCCTTTTTTATTTTTCTGAATTGCATTTAATTCATTAATTTAAATTTATAAACAAATTTATTGAAAATAAAATTTTTTAACATACTCTTGTAAATTAATTTGCATAAATAGATTTTTTTTTGTAATGAAAACTAAGTTCATGTAAAATCTTAATTTTGTATAGTTATAATAATTAATATTCTTAATTGCTTGTAATTAATTGGATAATTTCGGTGCAAAACATCGGAAGATAATCATTTAAGTACAAATGGAGTTTTATCAAGAATCTAAAGTTCAATCGAAACTAGATATATAAATGGATATAGCACATTTCTAAGATTTCAAAAATGAGTACCACTGTATAAATAGGTCTGTTTCTGACCATCACTGCTGTTTTATAGAAGTCAAGAATGGTTGGGAACCGATATTGGCAACAAAGAAGTGTCGTCTATCAGAACGAATTTCGTAATATTAAAACTTTTTTAAATTGCTTAATTCGCATTTTATATGGTTTATATATAATATAACTTCTGACGAAAGCAACTTACAACTCATACCAGATGTTACATTTATAATAATCCTTACATTGTGGTAATCAATAGATCATTATTCAGTTACGTTATTTTTACATGAAACCTTTTATTAAAGTTTCGAAGCTATAAACTATACCATTGAAAATATGAATAGAATTTTGCTTGTCATAATTCTATCTTTTTTCATTATAAAACTATTATGCGCTCAGGATATAGATTTAGGAACTACCGTTTTTGCAAATGTCGTAAGTTAAATAATATTCTTTTCTAAATAATGTTGATGTTTTATTTATTTTTTACATTTTGTTTATTTATTTGTCTTTTATACCTTTCATAAATCAATATGAAGTATATATAATTATTTTAAATATAATAATAATCATCATTATTATTCTTTGTTAAATATAATTATGATTTGTTTAACAGTTATACAGACATGGAGATAGGACACCTATAAGACCTTATCCAAATGATCCTTATAATAATAAAAGTATGTGGCCAGTCCCATATGGTGAATTGACAAATGTATATACCTGGTTATTACAATACACATAATTTACTTTCAATAATATATTTTTTTTTAAATAAAAAAAATACCATTTTTGTCATATATTGTTTTTGCTGTATTCAGTTTCTGGTTATATGAATTTTATTCTATGTCTTAAAATATTTTTTAACTTCAGAAATATTTAAATTCTCACTAATGTATTTATTATTCTATTTATAGCTTGGAAAATATCAACATTTAATGCTTGGTTATTGGATTCGTAAACGCTATTCACACCTACTAAGTAGTTCATATTCTCGAAATGATATTTACATCCAAAGTACTAATGTAGATCGTACTTTAATGTCAGCAGAAGCACTACTTGCTGGCTTATATCCTCCAGTTAGTAGTGAAATATGGAGTAGTATCAACTGGATACCTATTCCAGTGCATACTATTCCTGAAGATTTAGATTATGTTTTAGCTACTAAAAAGTATTGTCCCAGATATGATTATGAACTTGAAAAAGTTCTTAATTCTCCAGAGATGAAAAAAATAGATAAAGAAAATGAGAAATTATATGCATACTTAACAGAAAAGGCAGGAAAGAAAATTTCATCTCTAAGATCTGTTGAACAACTTTATGACACATTATTTATTGAGGTAAATTATGTTATTTCACTTTATACTTGCTACACTTGCTCAGCATTTAATTTTTACTGAAATTTTGCTTTTTTGAACTAAATATTCTATACATCTCATATACTCTACATTTATTATAGAATCTTTATAATAAAACATTACCAAACTGGACAAAGTCAGTATTTCCAGATAAACTTAAATCCATTGCTGCAACTAGTTTTACAATTAGTACCTACAATAAAATACTTAAAAGATTAAAATCAGGTAAATAATATTAGTTTTATCATCAATGAGAAATTTAGGCCACAACTTTGAAACTATAAAAAAATTACAGGACCATTACTTGGAGAAATAATAGATCATATGGAAAAGAAATCAAAAAATGCTTTAGTACCAGATAGGAAAGTATGGATGTATAGTGGTCATGATGAAACTATAGCCAATATGTTAATGACTCTAAATGTTTTTGAACCACATTGTCCACCATATACTGCAACAATCTTAATAGAATTAAGAATAAATTTAAAAAATCAATATTTTGTAACGGTAGGTGTTTCAAATAATTAAACTATATAATAGGAACATAAAATTTCTAGTTGAATATATGTTTATAGGTATCATATAAAAATACTAGCCAAGAACCACAACTTTTATCACTTCCTGGTTGTAATGCATTATGTCCCTTGAATCAATTTATTGCACTAACAAAAGATGTGGTACCTATAAATTGGGAAAGAGAATGTATAATGGATTGGGAACAATTTGGATATAATATGAATACAACAGCAATTATTGGTAAATTTCTAATGCAATATAAATCTATTTTTCATATATTAAGATAATAAAGTTTTCCATTTAAATCTTGTTTTGTTTCAGCAATATTGACATCTTCCATATTGATGTTAATTTTACTGGTCTTATCTATAATTGGCTTTATTTATTGGCATTATAAACGAGAACATAATCAGTATTACCTTCGACTAACAACAGATCCTATTTAATTGAATATAGCACTGGGGAAAAAAGAGATTGCTTTTGTTATAATGTTCAGTGTCTTCGTAATTAGATAATTAACAAAACTAGGATAAATTATAAATTCGTATTTGATTTTATATATACCAAGGAAGGAATCATTGATATGAAAAATAAGCCTGATACATTTTAACATAAAATGTTTGAAAAGAATTTTATACATTTTAAGATATTTGTACCTTTTTATTGGTGATAAAATATTTCAGTTTATAATTGAGGAAGTGAATAAGTAGATTCTATGCAAACATAATCCTTTGCAGATTTTAGTCGATAAAAAAAAGTTTTATACACGCGCGCGCGCACACACCATTCACATACGCGCATGCACACATACATGTACACATACGCGTGCGCGCGACATACACATAGAGCTGAAAACGAGGCTGTCATAATGATCTCTATGATTCCAAATAGTTTAATAAAAGGGTATAAGATAATTAATGGTTTTTGTGATTGTAAATTGTGTGCTGTATTACTTAAATTGATTTTTATCTGTAATATAAAAAAATGATCTGTGATGACCATAAAATATTTAGAAATACAAATATTGAAAATGATTTCTCTTAATATATGATGATAAAAGAAAATAAGTTGTAAAATACTTTTATTGACTCAGAGTATTTTAATTCTTATTTCATTCCAAATGATTAGGTTCATAAATATTACAAATGTGAGAAAAGTAAATATTTTGAAACATAGGAATTATGTTTGTTTGCAATATTTCAGAGAATGTCTAGTCATATTGCATTAAGTTACAACAATTAAAATAGTACTCATTTTTAAGCAAAAAAGGTATATGTAATCACTTCATTATTACCCTTTTGTAATATTGTTTACATATGGCTGTGTTTGTGAATTATTTTCCAAATAGAAAACAAGAGATACATTAGAAAGAAAGAGAAATAGACAATACCTAAAATGTTTTAGTTAAATAAATTATAATACAAAAATTTGGTTTTTCTTAAACTGAACTATTTTACCGCTATATTTTATCGTTCTATATTGATATAAGTGTACAAATATAAATTATATCCTATTTAAAGTATTTTTGTGACATTTAGAAGTGAATAAAACAAGTATTACAAAAAAAATTGTCTACATGTATTTTTAACCAATAATCTTCTTTCAGATAATTTTTTTATCATAACAAGAAATACAAATACCTTGAACATAGTACGTAATGTCCGACCTCAACGGTGATCGCTGGACAACTGATTTTTCAATTAATGTATACGCTTTAAATATTATATACATACAGTATATTCATTTCCTTGTGACAATAGTATAGATATAATATGAACGGCATTATGCAATATATGTATTATACATGTACTTTATTGATAATGCTTTACATATTTACATTTTCTAATCATGAATTTATTTTATTTTCTTTTCCTTTTTTTTTTTTTAGATATTATAGCTTTTATATTTGAAGTATGATTTCATTTATTTAACTCTTTTAATTTTATTGCATTTTATATCTATCATACATGAAACTTTAAATTACTTTATTTAATAATTATTTATATATAAATATAAATAATATATACAATTGTCTCCCTTTTTTTATTATTTATGTAGTACATCAATATTCAAATTCTATTTAATTTTAGTAAATAATTTTTTCGTGGTAATTTTTTGTAAACTTTGTCATATTTAATTTTGTACAGCCTTAAAATCTAGCAGAATGCTAATTATGAGTATTGAATAATATTTGCCATATTTTTTTCCCATCTACGTTATCAATATTCTGGTATTGTGGTAAAACTACCAGACCAATTTTCTTGGATATTAAATGCCGGATTAGACCTAAAACATCAAATAAATTAATTTTATATACATTAATCCAAAACATTCAGAAAGTAATAAAATAATAATTTGTCCAATTTTTTGAAATAATTGAAATATAGCCTAAAATTGCACAAACAAAATTATGAAATAATTTTTTACCTTTAGTCAAGAAATTTTCAAAATTTAGTTACATTGTAAACCTGCACTTGGATTAGTTAAAAATGTACATGCAATTAATCATTCACATGACAAAACGAAATATTAATAAAATTATAAGTACGATTACAATGATTAACATAAAATAATTAATGTTTAATGTACAATAATTGAAATAATTAAATAAAGAACAAATTAGTGAAGAATATATTTTATTGATAATAATTTATTTTACTTGATAATTTTCCTAGCAACATTCTCTTTTTATATTACATTATTGAATACAGAAATAATTGAGAAGTAATAAATTTATAATAAACTTGGTTCTTTTATATTCGTGATAACTATAAGAATTTTATATGTTAAAAAAGAGTTATCAAGAAAAAGAATATAGCATATGTTATAAACACATAGTATTTACAGGGTTGAAAGTAAATGACATTGTAATTCCTTTTAAATTAAAAATATCTTTGTACTTATTTAACGTAAATTTATTATAAATTTTGTATGATTATGAATTAAAAAAGATAAAAATTCAACAAAATATAAAAAGATACAAAAATATTTTTGCATTACTTATTTGTTAGTATTTATTATTAAGTATATACAATGTTAATAAAGCACACATATCTGTAAATAAATATTTCCAGTTCATATACCTATATTTTATATTCAATATATAACCATAACAACAATTTCATAAAGTTCATATGCAAATATGTATATTCATTAAGAATATTTCATCTTCAAGCTGAATGTTATTAATTTCATATAGTAGTTAGTTACATTCAATATTTCATGAACATGTATTTTAATCTATATTTTGTTGAAAAGATTTTAGATTGTAAAGTTACACTTCATTAAAGATGATTGTTACTGTGATGATATAATAATGCTTATTTGTTATGATAGTAATATATTACAATCGTAATAATTACAATTTTAAATTGTCACTAAGCAAATTATTCCTAAGCATATCAATAATTGATAACATACATGCAACGTATTATAACATGTTTTTTTTAAATATGAGTAAAACTGCTGTGAATATTATTTGAATATCTTTGCTATATTAAATCCACATCAAATGAACTAATAATTACTTTTACAATTTTTATAAATATTTATAAACATTTGTTATTCACTATATGTTCTCACACAAAACCTGTACTTTGTTATATTACATTGTTAATTACATTAGATATACATTATATAAATGGAAAAAGCAACTTCTCTTTCCACACTTAGATAGTAAATATTGTAAAATTAATAACTAAATTAGTTAACAAAATCCTGTGACATATAAAGCATATCTACTATCCTTACCTTGCATATATTGCAGGGTTTGATAATCCAAGTGTTGTACTTACAGGACTTCCAATGTATTTTTTTACAAACTACAGAAAGAAATTAACAATCAAATGATTAATACTTAATATTAATATTAATAATCCTACTTAGTACATACCCAATGGTCACCAACGGAAGTTGCACCCATACTCACAGCCATATGAATTGTCAGATAAAAGCAAAATAGGAGATATAAAATAGAATATATAGAAATTGCTAGTATTATCGCCCAATGATGTGGTAAATCAGTTTCCACTGTATTTATAACAAAATATATATTTATAGCTATTACAACAACGGATAATGCAGTTGCAACAATTTTATTAGTTCTACAATTTAAAAGTATATATTAAAAATCAAATGAATCTAAGGAATAGATTTACATTATTATAAAATTAAAAATACAAAACTTACATTCCATTTCGGAATTCACCCATAACTTGAGAGCTACTAGTAAATGCTATTGTTGGTAAAGTTGCAAAAGGTAATTGAAGTGTCATAATAGCGTTTAAAACATCGTTCATTCGAGTTAAATTATTTATATCACTGTAAAATGCAACAAGGAAGGTTGGAATAATAGCAATTGACCGTGTAAAGAGAACTCGTTTCCAACGAGCCCACTGAAGATTTAAAAAACCTTCCATTGCAAATTGTCCTGCATATGTTCCTGTCATTGTGGAAGACTGACCAGCAGCAAAAATACCAATAGCCCAAATATACATTGCTGCCGCACCAAAGGCGCAACCAAGGAATATACCACCTTTATTAAGGTCGACTGTAACGGTAGTATTTTCTTTCTGTAATTAATAAAATTAAATGTAAGAAAAAGACAACGTTTTTGGATATATAAATCTATGTTAATAACTTTTTATTCTTACTTCGAATGTGACCATTCCCATGGTATAATTGTGACTCTCACAAATATTGTACTAAAATGGAAGAACATGTATATGAATATATTCTATAGATAATTACAATTAAAAATTTCATTTACATTCTTAATTATTGTACTCACAACTTGTAAACTAGTTTTTTGATAAAGACCATCCGCAAATACCGCAACAACAAATACGTTAATTATAAAAGATACCAAAAGTGCAATGCATGCTTCAATGAAGTAATACATATTTGCTTCTTTCACTTTTGTAGATTCTCTACGATCAATGTCTCTTGACTAAAAATTAAAGAATATTATATTACAATATCTACCTAATACATAATAAACATTTAATACATCAGAATGCCTACTTCTTTTATTTCATAAAAAAGATTACTTATACTCTTTGTTCTTTCCTTACTTTAACAAGAGCACTGTGAAGATATAAGTTATGTGGCATTATAACTGCACCAACAATTCCTACAGCTTGTAATAACATATTTCTGTCATAATCTTTATACCATGGTATAAACATTCCACTTATCACTTCACCTTGAGGTGGAGAAGAAACAACATACTACAATATAAGCAAAAAAAAAAGAAATTATTTTAATTCACATACAAGTAAAGATACATTTATTTATTTAATTATTGAAATTTACCTCATATCCAAATGTGACAGCCATTACTGTAATAAGAAATCCAAAGAAGAGTTCTAATTTCCTTAAGCCATATTTGTCCAATAATAAAAACACAAAAGTGTCAATTACTGTAATAAGTACACCACCCCATGTAGGAATTCTGAATCAAATTACATATATAACTTCCTTTTTAAATAATTGCATTAAAAAATAAATTTAAGCAGCAATAAATTCCTCCCCTCAAAAAGATAAAAAAAATGATTACTTACGCTTTATTTGTTAATAAAGACAAAGCAATGGCTGTTCCTATTACTTCTTGCATATCACTACCTATTATGGCTACTTCTATCATTATCCATAAAATCATTCTAGGTATTTTTTTATATTGTCTATAACACATTTCTGCTAAATGCAAACCAGTTACTACACCGAGCCTTGCACTTAATCTTTGCATAATAAGGCCAAGAATGGTTGCACTTAATAATACCCATAATAACTAAGAGAAAAGAAAATAAATACATTAAAAATATTGAACAACTAAAAATTATAAATAAAAAATGAAATAAATTGGAATCGACAAATTAATTAAATGAATTTAGTAAATTAAAGTACATAAAAGAATTCAATGAATTAAATAACTAAAAGAATACCTTATATTTAGCAGCTACACCAGATTGCAAATCAGATTCAATATTTCCAGGATCTAAATAAGCTATAGACATTAAAAATCCAGGTCCTGTAAAAGCCCATAATTTTCTAAAACTAAATAAACCCTGTAAAAGCCAAATTAAAATAGATATAGATAAAAATTCGCTTGTTGTAATAAAAGTTAATTACTTCAGCCTTCATTAATACCAATATATACTACATTTTTTGTTTCTGGTATGTGAACTTTTTCATCAGCAAAATACGTCTGATTACTATTAGGTGTTAAACAGGTGCTTTCAGTAGGTTTGTCATTATTTTGTGCTTTCTGTCTATATTGATGAGACACTGTGACTGTTGAATCATCATTGGGTTCATTAATATAACTATTCTGCATGATATATTGATAAGATGTCTCTGAAAATAGAGTTAATAATATGTAATATACTTTTTAATATACTTAAATCTGTGCACAGATATATATTTAAACACATGTAATGGTAATAAATATATATGAAAATAATAATAAACTACATTATGTAAAAATTAACCCCATAGTTTAAGTCCAATAATTTAATTAATAAAAATAATTTAATATGATGATCAATACAATAAAAGATTAAAATAATGTCTTATTGTATCCAGTAAATACTTAAACTTTCTTAATCATGAATTAAATATTTAAATATTATTAGTCATGTAACATGTTAACAAATATAAAAATAAACATTAAATTCATTTTGTTTTAAAAATAAAAATGCATACCTTTATACAATTAAAATAGGAACATAACTAAAAAACAACACACGATACACAATACATAAAGACCATCAAGCAACTGAAACCACTGTTGCAACAAAGCAAATGAACGAACTTACAGCACCATCTTCCTTGGATGTTCCCCCTCTCTCTATAAAATATATTACCAAACGTTTCATGGCGGGGATGTCCAAACTCATCAGTGACTAAGAATACAAGCACAGAATTCACAATTTCCACGAACAAAGAAGTACAACTGTGCAACATCACGGGATGCCCCGTGCAATTATCACAACAAACTAGTTGACTAGTAAACTCTTATACGACATCTCTCGTTATCATTAATGACGAGTAACTCCTAATATTTCTGAATAATCTTGGACTTTTGTAAATTTGCATATGTGCCATTGAAATCACTCATTCGCGGTGCTCGATGCATCTGTAATGCATGTACTATATGTATTGACTTTTAGTTTTTGAAATAAATAAAATAACAAATAATAACAATTATCATTATATCAACTGTTTTAGTTGGAGGATATTTATATTTAGTTTCTGAGTTAAGTAATTTAAATCAAAGACGATTCTAATTCTTTAATTAACTTTGATACACGAGGACGTGCATGCTATGGCTTGTTACATCATCATAGCAAATCTTTGTTCGACTAATTTGATAATTGTTAAATTGAATCGAAAGCGTTTCTTAAAAAATAAATCTGTAATACTAAATATACATACATATATTATTTTCGATTTGTGTTGGGAATGGGCATTTTATTGACGAAGAAAAACGAAAAAATTTTTACTTTATTTAAAATTTGCTAAAAATTAATTATATGAAATTAGTTAAAGATTAATTAAGAAATAATTAAGTAATCCTAAGTATTCGTTATGTGAAAATCATTATCTTCGTATGAAACGTTTTGATAAATATTCACCAATTCAAATACCGATAACAAAAATTGAAGTATGAAAGAAAGGAAGAAATTATAAAACTCTTTTACGTCAAAAAATTATTCTTAGCAAAGCAGTATTTTTAATGTGCATTGATCTATTTTAATTAATAATCTAATAAAGTGTTTTAATTAATTCCCTTTTTTTATCTCTTATTTTATCTCAATTTTAGCCTAGATCATATGCTAGTACATATTTTTATTATGAAAATTTGTAGAAAAACACATTTTTTCAAACTATTAATAACATTCAAATTTTGTAAAATCATAAAATATTAACGTAATAAAAGATTGTTGAATCCAAGAAACTGCATTCTGTATTGAGGACACTTCAATGTAAATACAATGTCTGTATTTAACTTGGAATATCAAATAAATGTTTCTTTGTATTAGATATCAGATATCGGTTAATCAGTAACAGCTAAGAATTATATAATACATATATACGTAAATATATAATGAAAACATCTAATTATTTTACTTAATTGCAATTTTTCGAGTGTCACATAATCAAATATAAAAAATAATCAATAAATAGCTTTCGTAACGAACAAATTCAACTGCGCACCGTAAGTCATATTTCTTCTTCACTACATCAAAATAACTGCAGTCAGTGATGTTTAATATAAATCAGCGAAACAATTATGTGATGTATTTCCCACTGATTTGTGAATCATCGTGGTATTCCCAGTGAACGAGGAAAACTAAATACAATAAGAAAATAAATATGAAAGTGTTTCTTAATCAGTTTTAATGTCTTTTGACCCCAAGAAATCTGTTCCGTTAGAAAAGAAATTGTTGCATAAATTATTATACTTTGATTGCACAATGTGGAAATCTATCATTTATTAATACTACATTTCTATTTTGAAATAAATATTTTACATTTCTAGATGTATAAGTGCAAATTTTTAATAAGACTATTCTGATTTTGTAAAACAGTTTTGATCTCAAAATTTCTTTTTATAATAAAAAATAAATCGATACCAAGTTCCAAGAAAATCTGATAAATGTATATTAAAATATTATGAATAAATATTATCGAAATATTAATAAACAGCATAGATGCTGATGATAAAGAATAAAAAGAATATAATCTTGAGATATTTTTGATTATAATCTAATCTGTGAATGTAATTAAAAAGATACCCATCTTTATTTACGTTATTACGTAACATTAATGTAAAAACTGTATTTTATCAATATCTATTTATTAAAACCTGTCAATATACGTGATTATTGAAAAATTTATTTGACAAAAATATTTTTTAAAAGTGCTTATTAGTTTCATATTAGAGAAATTAGTAAAAGGAAAACCTTAACTTTAAATGAAAACAGAAATGATTATAACAATGGTAGAAAACCTTTTGATACACGTGTAGTATATCAAACATATTTTAATGTTTTATAAAAAAATCTTTTAAAAAGTTGTAGAAACTAGAATAGAGATTTTTAAGTACTCAACATTCCACTGTTTTTATAATTTATTGAATAACTGTAGTAGTTATTAAGGTATATTTTTTGTTATTTCTTTAAACTATTTTCTTCGAAAGTACATTTGACCATGAAATTGTTAGCTCATAAAATGTACATAATTTCTTACAATTTAGAGAACGTAAAAAATTTTATTATTGATAACACATCAGTTCAAACCCAATGTTTTAGACTACGTATTTAAAGTATATTAAACTCAAATTGATTAAAAATGATACTTTCAACAATAGTAAAATGGAAATCCTTATGTCTTTTGTTATTATTACGCACTTATGTACAAAGTTTATATTTATCATAAAACATTTTTGTATTGAAATTGTTTTAAAAAATGACGCTCAATATTATTCTGCTTAATTTATATTATTGAAAGATATTTTATATCGAAAAGTTAAAAAAAATAAAATACAAAATAAATTTCATTTTGCTTAATTTTGTTAAATCAAAAATAATTCATTCGTATCACAAATGATGAATTAAAACATATTTCTACGAAATATTTAAGTTTCTAGCATTATGTCATAGTCTCGAAGTCGAAATCCCTAGTATGGAACATACATCGTATGTAATTATGACATTCGTACCCGACACATATTTTTTTTAATTTAATTAGTTTATGTGACTATAGGCAGTATCGTAATTTTCAATTTAAGGCGTGGTGAGATTTTTTTGGAAATAAAGTTGGTACTTTAATCTCTCACATTTGTTCACAACGTAATAGTTATATGCAATATTATTAGTAAGACTGTTTGTGTATATCAAAATTCGTTATTGATTTCCTTCTTATTTAAACAATAAACATTTAAGCTGTACCCTGTTTATTACTTGAATGTAGTGCCATAAGATTGAAAGAGAGTTATGGTTAAGTTTATATGTATGAAAAAGTCACCGTAAAGGAATTTTTGAAGCTATGAGATAAGGGAGTTATGAGTCAGCCATTCAGTTGTGTCACGATTGAGCATCATATATATTTGACAACCATTTGAAATAAAAAATTGTGTAATTTTGGATTTGAAAGATTGTTTGAAACGAAACATTTGGTGACAAAATACAATTTATTAACTTACCAGGTAAAATTAATGAGTTTTTCAATGGTATAAGCTCCATTTTGTAGCAGACAGGTGGTATATACTTTTACTTGACAGATGTAAAATGCAACTGATAATTTCTTACGATAATGTTCTGAACAATATGTATTGCATTACATCACTATGAACACAAATATATTATAAATATATATATATATATATATATATCTTTTGTATAATATGAAGATAGAAAGAAATTAAAAAAATATAATTACTATTTATAGAAAAATGTCTAATGTTAATAACTTGGAACAACAAATTGCAAATTTGCAAATTAATCATGGGGATAATGTGAAAACTATTAAATCTGGGAAGAAAGTAGGACCTGCTGTACCTCCAAAACCAAAAAAATCACAGCCACAGGTCAGTAGATTATATGAATATAATCAATACAATTATTTTATTATTAACAATGTTTTATGTTACTTTCCATGACTGTTCCATCATTATATGGAAACATCAATGGTATAATTAACAAGGTTTAAAATCTTGTAAAGTAATCTTATTATGTGGAACTTTATTGTATAAATTATTTTCCAGATACCACAAAGTTATACCATAAAGGCTGCATCTGTGCCATCATATAGTACAGTACTTAACAATTCTGGCCAAAATGAAAAGTCATCAAATTTGTATGTGAATTCTTCTCAATCATATGTGCCATTAAATATAGAGAAAAATGATTTTTCTCTATCATCCACTGCAAATGGAAAAGATGTTCCTAAAAGCTATCAGAATAATGAAAACTTCTATGTGCATCAATCAGATGAAAAATTTGAGCCAAAGTATGGATATGATGAAAAGAATCACTATTCAAATGTTGGGAATATGCCTGCTCCTCAAGTTCCAGTCGAAGATCATTCAAGATCAACAAGAAACATTGTATATAGTAACATAGATCCTCCAATAGTTATACCAATTAATAAAACAACTAAAACTGAAAAAGACATAATCTATAGTAATATCCAATGGAATTCTAAACCAGAAAATACATATTGTAATATTCCTACTGCACACAATAATGGTGAGATACATAAAGAATATAATTTTTTTAACATTTTCCTATATGTTTATTTGCTAAATTAAGTAAATATTATATTACAGATGACTTACCACCACCACCAGAACCTTCAGAATATGTTCCATGTGTACCAGGTAGTTCTTTTCCACCACCACCAGAAGAATTACCACCTCCACCAAGTCCTGTATCATCCAGTTATAGTGAATTAAGACGTGCTACTTATCAAACTGATTTTCCATCTGATAATTATCCAAATGACATTTATGGTCCTAGTTCACAATCCAGTTCTACATATGAATCTATATATGAACCAATTAATCCTAGACCACCGTCACAATTATCTTGCAATTATTCCATGTATTCTGGATATGGATCTGCTACATCCACCCAGCCCCAAGGAAAAGTATCTCCAGTTAAGGAAGTATGTTAAAATTATACTAATGGTGTTAACATTTTCAATAAAAAAAAAATTACTTTTCAAAAATTATATTTGCCTTAGGTGGATGTTTTGACTGATTTATTAGTTCAAGGAATGGAAGATAATACCGAAGACAGTGATATATATGGAATTTGTGCTCAATGTGGTCGTAAAGTTGAAGGTGAAGGTACTGGTTGCTCCGCGATGGATAAGGTGTTCCATATTGACTGCTTTTGTTGTTATATTTGTAAAGTCAATCTACAGGGTAAACCTTTCTATTCGCTGGAGAATAAACCCTACTGTGAAGAAGATTACTTGAACACTTTAGAAAAGTGCTGTGTTTGCACTAGACCAATACTTGATAGAATATTAAGAGCCACAGGAAAACCTTATCATCCATCCTGTTTTACTTGTGTAGTTTGTGGACAAAGTCTGGATGGTATACCATTTACAGTAGATGCTACAAATCAGATTCATTGTATTCAATGTTTCCATAAGTAAGCAGCATTTTAATTGATCAAATAAAGTGAATCAATTTTACAAACTTAAAATGATGTTTTTATATTACAGGAAATTTGCACCTCGTTGCTGCGTTTGTAAGTTACCAATTATGCCAGAACCAGGACAAGTTGGAACAGTACGCGTTGTAGCACTAGATCGTAGTTTCCATATTCAGTGCTACAAATGCGAAGATTGTGGATTGGTTTTGTCTTCTGATTCTGAAGGTCGTGGCTGCTATCCTTTAGATGATCATGTATTATGCAAAAGTTGTAATGCTACTCGAGTTCAAGCATTAACATCACATATGACAACTGAATTATAAATGACATAAACATAATAACTGAAGCAAGATACTAGATCATTATATTTATAATTACAAATTTTACAAATTTTTAATATCTTAGAAATAAGTATCTGTAAGACATGCGACATTTTATATGCTTTTAAGAAACTTTTTAATGAAAGCCATTTTGATAATTGAATATGAATAATTTTTGTATTATTTAATACTTCGAAGTAAATTACACCAAATATTCATATTTCTAGACTTTTTTGAAGATTTATATTTTGTAGATGGTGTATGTTTATATGCATACTTTATACAAAGTAATCAAATTTTAAAAAATTTCAAAATTGAATTAACATTATTGCTTTTACACTGCCATGTTTAAAATTTCGAAAATATCTAATAATTGTATTATTAAATAATATTAAGGGAGAATTCTAAACTATGAGCACAAAAATATATTACAGAATTAGTTTCCGGAAATGAGTGTTATTACTGACTAATATGATTAATGTGATTTTAGGAAAGTATTGCATATAATACTGAAAACAAGGTATTCAACCTAGAGTTAAGAAAAAAATTAGATTTATGTGTGACTATATCCACATAATATCAATAATGCAAAGTAGAGATTGTGCAATTTATATGATTTTTTTTCTATTGCTTTGAAGTATTTAAAATGTTTACTCTAATGTATTAAATTCGTTATGTATTTAGATTTCCACTTTACGGAAAATCATGTGATACGATAGAATTAATACAGTGTATTAGTGCAAATATCTTAAATTATCTAATTAGCAAGTGAATAGAATATAATTTTCAAATGTATTAATGTAATGAATATTGAATAAAATATCCAATATATATATAAATAAGGCATCTGCTTAATATTTGTTAACTTTTTTTTTTTATATTTTTGGAAAAAATGAATCAAACTAAACAAGAAAGGTACATACACAAATACAATATATGTACTGGAGCATGGTATATTTCATATCTTTAATGAGACTTTATTATTATATATTTGCAGCAGAGACTCACACTTATTTTATTCTATACGTTTTTTTTTTTTTTGCTATGGCTCTTCCATCTATATAATGTTCATGCACAGATGTTTTTATTTTATTTTTAAATATATGCATCTCTTATATGTAATATACTTTTTTATTATCATCGAGTACTTAGTTTTTTGTTGTACAACCTACATGTCATTTTATGTATAATTTATGTTTTTCTTTTCTTAATACATCAATTTCTGTGTTTTAAAAGGCATGCTTTATAGATTGTGGAATGCGTCTTCATTATTTTCCGAAAAATTAACTCAATAGACTTCATGCATAGTTTTCAAACCACAATACACTATAATAACTGTGCAATCGTCGTTAATTGATAAACAAAATGAAAAATATAATTAGTAAGTTTCTGAAGATTGCACTGTACAAGTTTACTACCTTAAAAATATGAATTATTTACTTAACAATACTGAATTACTGCAAGGTTGTTAATCTTACTTCAGTAATATGTTAGAAGTAATAGAAATTTAGTAAACATCGAATTAATAAAAATAAATAGCTGCTTATGGACTAACAAAAACCTTTTTTCATATATCGACAAAATCTGTTTCACGCAACTTATTGTGAACATGTAATAATCCACAATCATAGAAAGCACACCGCTTACACCGAGTGTGTAATATACATCAATTATATTCCTATATTCAACTACGCATATATGCTAATATCTATCTTAGATTTCTTTTATATTATAATATACTTTGCGAAGTATATATTATATTTTATATTGTATCAGCACCATTCTACGTTGAATTTAGTACATGTGTAATAATTGCAATTAAACGACTCGTCTTTTAATACGTTTCGTTCATTCTTTTAATCAGTACCAAACTGAACATAGAATTGTACTTTGCTTTCGTATTATCTCTCGTTAAACACGTAAACTGTCTTCTTTTCTCGTATTTTCTGTTTTTCATTTTTATTTTTAACTTGCACGCAATAATCACAGCCACCTATTCAGATACGCGCTCATACACACCCAAATACGCACCTATCGCACTCGCATTCTATATACCTTCGGTATACGGTTTGTTTATCTCCGTTCATTAATATTTATATATATATATATATATCTATATGTATATATTTATATTTGTATATTGCTGAGATATCTTCTCGTGTATTATACATAGAAATAGGTGCCGAAACGAGCTGCTCTGTTCCTTTTTTAAATCATTTTTCCACTTCGATTACATATGTATAATATCGTTTTTCTTGTACGATCATAATAATAACGAGAAAAAAAGAGATCATGCGACTCGAATGCCGTATGCGATGTTTCCTTTTTGCATTTACTATTTCGTTTTCTTCTCTATCTTATCTTCTTAAAATCGCCTCGCTTCTAATTAAATTCCCTTTCCCGAATTCAATTTTTCTAACAGCATACTTTCACACTTTCAAATTCGCTGGGTACTGGTTGGGCTGTATTAGCCCATAAATCAATAAATAAATAGAGGAACAACATTCTTCAAACATCTTTTTTTTTTTATAACAACATTAGAGGCTCTTGGAACGTAACGCAACAAATGTTCAACAATACAATCACGAAAACAAATAGAAGGCACTCTTACATTTTTTTATCAACAAATTAATTTCTTTTCGTAACGACTCACGGGTAATCTATATGCGTTCTAGGCCTTTGTCGTTTCGTCTTCATATCCTTCGAATATATCTTTTTTTTGTTTCTTACTCTCTTTCTCCCTTCATTTTTTTTATTTCTTTTTTTCCATAAACTTTTTACTCGTTCACTATATATATTTCGCCGCGACATCTAAATCACAGCGCCACAAACCTTCGGTTCGTTATCGTTTTCTGTTTTCCTCATTTAAATAGACAATAATAGCTACAATATGCGAGATATGAGATAACAAATTTCTCGTTATAGATAAAAGAAATTTATACGTTTATAACAATTAGGTAGAATATTATTTAACCTTTTATATTATAATAATTTAATTATTGTTATTTGCTTGGAAGCTCACAGCCGACACGGTTATTTAATTCATTATTACATACTTTTTTTTTTGTTCTTTTAAAGTATATCTTTTATCGTATTCATTTTCGGGTATTTGGGGCATCTCTTTTTTCTCTTTTTTTCATTTTTTTCATTTTTGTAACAGCTATTTTACGACCTTCTGTTTTTCTCTTTTTTTAAATATTTCCTCTTTCTTTTTGCGCGGGATAATTTGTCAAAAGAAAAGAACGGGAAAATTAGTATATTTTTTCTACTATAGTGTCTCGAAATGCATGAGAATGTGTGTTCACGGTTACTCTAATCAAACTATAAGTACTGTTTTACCATGTTTCAGGTAAAAAATCAAAACTGAGGGATGTGGCAGTGCCTTGAGCAACCGTTTTATGAAATCAACTCTATTTCTGCCTCCTTATTACCCTTTCACTTCATCATCATCGGTATCAACATCACTACCTTTTTTTCTTTGAACACATAACAAATCGCTCGTCTTTGTACGATAATAACATGTTATTTGTTGTTATCATTTTTTTTTTTTTGTTTATTTTCTTCTGTTTTATCGTCTGTTTGTTATCCATCTATCCTACTCTAGCCTTGCTCGTGAGATTCAATGGTTTGTCGAGCCTATTGCGCATAACGTTAAATACTGCATATATAACATGTATAGTTTTTAAATAATGTAGCGTATTTGTGTATCTATTGAGATAGAATTTTTTTTTCTTCTTCATCTTTTTCGTTAACATTTCGATTCTTATTAAAGAGATATATAATAATGTAGCATGACTTCGAAGTTCTTCCGTATCCCTTGTTTCGCGTTACTCTAATTATATCTGCTCTCTTCGATAGATAAATACATACATACATACATACATACATACATACATACATACATACATACATACATACATACATACAT